GCTTTCAGGTGGTGCAAAGGTGGGGTGCCCAGGCATGGAGACTGCCTGGTCCAGATCGGCACCCTGCTACGCTTGGTGCCAGGCTCCTCACTCCCAACCTGTGGATCTGTCCCCCAGGGTTGATGGAGAGAGAAATCTCCCTGGTAAACACTCTCAGACCCAGCTGTGAGAATCCAGCAGCAGTGATACCCCTGCCCCCCATCCTCCACATCTTGCCACCTTCCCAGGCTCCCCAAAGTGTTCAGGGAAGTCTGTGACCACTGGGAACCCCATCCCTCGGCTTGACTGGGCTGCCCACCCTTGGGCTCAGGGCATGGCACCTGGAGCAGGACTAGAGCCAGAGCCCAGCATGACCCTGCTCCTCCTGCTCCACTCAGTGGGCAGGATCAGGAGCCCCCTCCCATCCTTCCTGGGGTCTCTGAGGGAGCCCCGGGGGGCACTTGCCCATGAAGCACAGGGAGCCAGATACAGGTTTCTCCAGGGTGGAATAATTTACTGTGATACAGGCAGGCAAAGGATGCCTGGGCTGGGTCTTGGCAGAGGTGTGTATGTGCGAGGGATGCAACAGGGCCAGTTTGGGGGTCTTGGAGGTTGACCCTTCCTGCCCCTGCTCCCTCCCTCCCACCCTGACTGTATCATGTGGGATGGGAAGGATGAAGAAGCCCAGGCAAGGGCTGCCCTGGGCACTTGGTCTTGAGAGGGACAGTCTGTGGGGACAGTGGGGCAGAAGGGACCTGCCTTGGCTGGAGTGAGTCCCTGCGAAGATGGAGTGATCCAGGGCTGTGGTGTGAGCTCAAGGTGAGGGTGTGGGATGCTTTGGTGGACTGCAGTAGGGATTTGAGAGGGCTGAGGGTCTGGGCCACATCATCAGGGGACACAGTGGTGCAGGGTAGGAGTCTTGGGCACAGGCAAGAGGGCCCAAGAGGGCCAAGTGGGGATCCTAAGTGCAGACAAGGGTCCCTGGTGTTCTTGGCAGGGTACTTGAGGGTAGCCAAGGGTGTCTGGTGCATACCAGGGTTCACAAGCAGGGATGTCAAGCATCTTGGGCGTGGGCAGGGGTCCTGGGTGCAGAACAGGGATCCTAGGGGTGCAGAGCAGGGCTCTCGGGAGGGGGAGAGGGTCCTGGCTGTGGATCAAGGCTCCCACAAACACATGGAAATACTGGGTATGCAGAGCAGGGTCTTGGGGCTCAGCCAAGGGGCAGAGAGGAGCAGACCTGGGGTCCTGAGGTGCAACCAGGAATACTGGGGTGGAGCTGGGGTGCCAAGGGTGCAGCGTTGGGTCAGTGCAGGAGTCCTGAGACAGGGCAGGATGAGCAGAGCCCTAGTGCTGCCCAGCCCCATAGAGCAGGGGGTGGTAGAGGGGGCAGGGGTAGGAGAACATAAACTTGACGGCAAACTTCATCTCCTTGTTGTGCTTCTGCCAGGGGTAGACAGCGAGGAGGAGCAGGCGGCCACCCACCTTTCGGCCCATCACCAGGAAGCTGCCGCTGAGGCTGTCAAGCTGGGGACAGGGGCAGGTGCCTGCATTCCTCATGTGCAGCACCATCTTCTTGGTGTCCTTGCGCTTGAGCGGGCCAAGCTTCAGCACCTTCTTCTTCTGGGCGGCCACCAGCCGCCGCTCCCCGTTCTCCTCTGTCATCTCCTTGATGCGCATCTTCACCACTGTGTGGGGCAGCCATGGGGCATGGTTTTGGGGGGAGGACTGCCATGGGGCACTGCTGAGGTACTGCTGGGGGATCTAGTCTGGGTGCCCAGACAGGGTGCAGCCTGTCCCTGGGGTGGAACCCAGAAGAAGGGTCTTTGGGGAAGTTACTGTGTGGGGAGGGGAAAGGGCTGTTGGGGGGTTTTCAGCAGAAGCCTCCGGTGACCCTCCCACGTGTCCCATTCTGCCTATCCCCCCACCAATGTCTTCTGTAATGCACCTATCCCAAGCACACAGGGTTGAAGGGAAAGTCTCAGGGGGTCTCTCATGGGGATATTGCTATATAACCATGCCCACTGGCCACCCCCCACTTGGGCTGGAGGAGGCAGCCCCTTGTCTGAGGGGGCTGGGGAGTGGACCCCAGCACTCACCGAAGTCACTGGAGCACATCTGCTCCATCATGCCATCCGCCTTGTGCTCCATCTCGCACTGGGTGCAGATCTTGGACACTGTGGTGAGAGAACGGCCGCTGTCACAGCTCCCTGCTGCTGATGCCTATCACCCAGGCCAGCTCTGGAGGGACATGCTGGGAGAGCCCCGGCAGCACCTCTGGTCCCTGGGCAGCTGTGCTGATGTGATGTGGAGGGCCAGAGTCCCAGCACGCCTCACGACTGGATGGGTATGGGGACACTCTCCATCTGCATGCTGTCACTTTGGGGCACAGCAACACTAGTGAGGGTGGCCCCAGCTTGAAGGGTGTCACAGCCCTGATCCTGAACCACTGCTGCTTTTGGGGGGTTTCCCCTCACCTGCGTGAGAGGGCAGCCACCCTGTGACAGCAGTGTGGGTCTGAGACACGCAGTTTCAGGATGCTCTTTGTGCTGGGATGGGATCCGGCAGAGGGAGAGGGACACAGCTCTCCCACCTCATCCCATCTTGACACCCAGCACTACTCCCTGGGATGCTCAGCTCTCCTTGCCCTGGGGCAGCTCTGTACAGGCAGCTGGGTGCCTGGCCAAAGCAGCAGATGCTGCTGGTACTGTGCCCCCTTGTGCCCTGCTGCAGACAGAGGGTTCCTGGCCAGCACCAGTACCCTGGGCTCTGCTTCCAGGGGTGTGGAGGCTCTGCAAGGGGACCCTGCATGCTGCAGAGGGACATATTGATGGCAGGTGCCCTGTGTGAGACCCCATCCCATCCCTTTCTGCTTACCTGGCGGCGGGGTTGCCTTGCTGTTCCCAAACTGGACGGCGATGCAGAGCTCGTGGTCGGCGGGGAACTTTGGGGCCAGGGGAAGCCGTAGGACTCCATGACGGGGGCGCAGGAGTCGCGCACCACCTCGCAGAGGGAGCGGCACGGGTAGATGGGCCGGTCGAGGCAGACGGGGGCGAACAGGGAGCAGAGGAAGAGCTGGGTGTCGGTGTGGCACTGCTTGGCGAGCAGGGGCACCCAGCTGCTGGCCTGCTGCTTGGCCTCGGCCACGGTCTCGTGCTCCAGCAGGTTGGGCAACCGCATGCGCTTGTAGCCCACGTCGCGGCAGAGCTGCATGTCGGGCGGGATGTCGAGGCACTGCGGCTCCCGCCCG